GTTCTCTCATGCTCCTAATGTTCTCCATTATTAGGCAAACCCTTTTCATATTCATATACATAACTGAATTGAACTATAAGAGATAATTTATATGTATATAGGCTACGTGTTTAATAAGGGTTTTGCAGAAGTCATTGCAGTGACATGTACTCCGTCATGCTCTCACCTCGTTGACCTGCTGCTTGTCCAGGTGAAAGATCTGTCCGGAGGAGGTGGCAGCGATCTCCTCATATGCCCTGTAGCCAGGCTGAGAGCGGTCCCCACAGTCCCCGGTCAACACAAATACCACCTGGGAAAGAAGGGGACAGTACAGTTAAGAGGATTACCACTGAGTGTTTGCTTTCCACTGACTCGCTTTCACTTAGCTCCAAAGTAACGCTAATGCTCATTGTCATGCTTCACGTAGAGGCCGAGTAACTTTGAAGAAACTTTCCCCTGCTCGGCTGAGCATTGGGGAACATCATTAGAATGTAGATCTTTCACAGCATGCCACTGTATTGCTTTTGTTATAGCATGTGATAAATGCAAAGATACTCAAAACTCTGTGGGCCAGGACTTTCAAGCTTCAGATGTTACCATTTTCCTGTTAACATCACCTAAACAGTATCATTATCATTATGGGGGACTTAAAACAAAACTAATGAAATGCTTGCATACATGTTTCATAATTTTTACACCCTGTAGCTGTGGCCATGAAGGAACCTCCATCATATGTGGGATGAATGACATTGATAGTTGACATTTAGTATGTAGATGTAGTAGATGCCAACATTTGACTGATGCAGTGTGTACGCTTCTAGCCCTAATCTGTGAGGTCACCACAACCCTGCGCAGTTTCTAGGACTTTACCTGTGATTGACGGAGCTGCACCAGCTGAAGAACATCTCTTTTCAGGCGGTAGTCTTTGGCCCTTGCGTCAGTGAAGACGTAGATGAAGGATCCAGGCAGGGAAACCTCCAAGGCTTTCTTAATGGCTCCTATACTCATCTCAGGGCAGTCGCCTCCACCCTGAGTGACAGAACCACACATGATCAGATACCCTTTTATATGTCCCATTTAGTAGGGCTATATATAAATATTCAAAAAAGTATACTAATTAGGGCAACACTGAGCAACTTTTGAAAGAACAAATAAGCCAATTTGTCTTTTAGAAATGAAAAGTTTCATATGCTAATAAAGCACCCTGCTCAATTAAATACCCTGACGGGTTTCTCCACTAAAGCCTTACTTGGTCTGGTGTCACCAGTGGCTTATGGTGGCTAATGTTAGCAAACTTTACATTCATATTGCTGTGTAACCTAACCTAACCTAAGTCTTGTAAGTAAGTAAGTAAGTAAGTAAGTTTGATGAATTCATGATTCTCCTATGAGTGTACAACTGTTATACTACATTATACCATTATCTCATTCTTGTCCCTTGTGGCCACAGTAGCTGCTATTCAGTAAACGTTACATAGGCTGGCTTTAAGCTACGGCAGTCCACATGGCTATAGCTTGGATTAGTGTGGAACAATCCAGTCCCAGTCCTATAGAATAATCATTACATGTGTTGTGGTTCACACCTGGACAAACAACTCTTGCAGATCCTGCTGGAACTTCTTTGGGTCGGTGGTGATGGACACAGGGCCGATGTCTGCAAGGTTGGAGATGCATGTCATCAAAGATCCCAAACAGAGAGAAAATCAGATCATCCCAATTAGAGATGGTCTGGTTGTGATACAATAACGTATGCCTAAAAATATTCATCCCAACTGACTAAGAGCTTCGTCCTTCGTTTTTTTTTTTTAATCAAACAAAACAACTTGTCAGAACAAAGGATTTAGTTGTTCCCTCTCAGCAGCATCTGCAGAATCACAATCCCAGATAAGACACAACCCAACTTATCGCAACCAGTGTGATGCCCTGTTGCTTTTGTGCATGACATAAATATTAATCGCACACACCACACATCACAAGAGAGACTAGACAAATGTACAATGGTCAGGTTTTGATTTACACAAATCGCAACAATCTGCCAAAATTTGGATGACGACAGAATAATAATTTTCTGCAGCTGTAGTCAGCATTTTCTACTGGGTGACTTCCTCATGTCTCAAGCAGTAGGGTGATGGATAGGAGCCTGTCAGGGCCTGACACTTACTTGGAGACCTTTCTTGGCCAATCAGTGGAACAGTAAACATTAACCAATAGACAGAGAACAAATTGTTTTTGCTATAGAACACTATTGTCCATACAGCTGTTACAGAGAAGACCCTCATCAGGTAGGGTGGAGCCTCATGATTTCTGTGTGTCTGTGCTTGTTATTCTGACTGTCAAATACCATTTGAAAGTATAATTTTGAGACTAATGATATGGAGCTTGCAGACATGTGTCAAGCTGATGACATTTCTTACTCATTCTCAATCTATTTTCCAACAGTGGAGGCTTTCAAGTCCTCGTCTCTCCTCATGAGTGACTGTAAAACACTGACAGCACTGTCACGCCTCTTTGTCAGACACCACGGCTTCTTTGCAATCTTGGAAGTTTACAAGGTCCCCAGGGGCAGGGCACATTAAACACAGACAAAATGTGGTGTTAGTGCAGCCCCTGCCCCCCCCCCCCGGCTGGCTAAACTGGGGGCTATGAGGGTTTTCCGGAGAATTGGATGGAGGAGAGGGAGGGGTGGGGTGAGTGTGTGAGTGTGTGTGTGTGTGTGTGTGTGTGGGGGGGGGGTGATTTAGGTAATTACACACAAGCAGAAAGCATATGCTTCTCATCAGTGCTCAAACACCCTCCCCCATTAGAGCACTCTTATTTTCAAGCTGCAGCTTTCCCATAAAGGAGGGCAGATGCCAGGGGGTGAAGAACCTTACCTGTCCCACAGACTCCTCACTCTAAAAGCTCAAATAACCCTGCTTGATGCCTTGTATCAGTTTGAGTTCAATGTGCTGCTCCTTGTGAGTGGACTTATACTGAAACACTGACATCATGAGCTACAGGTTCTGACTTGTGTTGCAGTTTGCTGTTTCTGTGATCCTTTCATGTAAAGAAACTACAGAAAAATGTCAATTCACAGGCAATGTAATGTTGCAGAGTTTGTAATAATGCAAAAAGAAGGATATGGGTTAATCTTTTGCCTGGATTTGGCACAGAAAAAAATCTGATCATTTGGGTTTATTTGTGCTGCTATAAATCTTAATCATATGCATTGATTTACAAACATATTAGGAATTCAAGACTACCATTCCCCCCAAAATGTGCCCATTGTGAAGCTGATTATTTAAAACAGTGTGGTGATAACCACTAGTTGATGTGGTGTGTTTTATCAAAGGTACCTGGGTCATGGAAGGGGACCAGGACAAAGTTTTTGATGGGTCTGGTCCTACGATTGAGGGTCTTCTCCAGGATCCGTGAGGCGCCCTCTATCACCTGTTTTAGATCGTCGTACATGGAGCCGGTAACATCGAAAACAAAGGCCAGGGTCGAGGCGCTGTCACCGGATCCATCATCCTCCTCAGCCCGGGGGACTGCCAAGATCCTGTGCGCGCTGATACAGAGCGCAAAGACTAGGCACTTCAATAAGACGCCGGTCATGTTTAGATTTACTGCATCTGTCTGCTAGAATGAGGCGAATGACATAAAAAATTTAAAAGTAGAAGAAAGTTTTAAAAAGTTTCGACGCCAAAACAGTTCAAAGTCTGGGACTGCTTCCAATCGGGAGAAATAATATTTGGAACAATACGGCTCAGCTGAAACACATCAAAATCCAGAATAAAATGCTTCCACGGGAGTACATCCGTGCGTAAAGTTTGGAGGAACGTGTGGACTGGCCCTGTTTTGAAGAGCCCCCTGGAGAGCTGGTGCTCTGACGCTTCAAACGGGGGCGGGGATGAGTTTTAAAAGGTTCCCGAGACCCAACCTGATGTGTTTGTGTGTGTGTGGGTGTGTGTGTGTGTGTGTGGGGGGGGGGGGGGTACCTCGACCCCACTGTGACTTCCAGGCTTTAACCCTATCCAGCATTCCCCCCTTCAATTCGATTTTCTCCGCGTAACTGAGGTGGGCCCCTAGACGCGGTTTTTAAGAGCTTTACGCACATTACCAGCGGAGTCTGTAGTGTGTATTATGGACATGCCGAGAACATTGTCTCAGCAACAACCTCGTTTTTATAAATAGCCATCGTTTATATTCAGCTGACACCAATCTAATTTTATACATAGCCCACTCTGAGAAATATCCCCTTGGCATATGAATGGGTGGAATAGCTTGACGTACCACACAGAAATGTCACTGTCCTTTTTACTTTGTAGCTGATCTGGGTAGAAATGTTATTATTAAATATTGTTACATACTTGATGTCTAGCTATGACATATCTTTTCTAAGGAGATCAGACCTTGCAGAGAAAGCCAGCTGATCTTATGAATGGAAGTACATGGAAGAAACCCAGAATATTTTTGAGACAAGCTTGCTGTTCAAAATCAACTTGTCTTTTGCTGCACTTAGTCACAGATGGTATTTTCGAAACAAAGCAAATCAAAAATGTCACTGGTCAAAGCTCTAAACCCTTCTGGCCTCCTCCTCTTGATGTCACTTGCATCTGTCCTTGATGAAAAGAAAACAGAAAGCAGGTCTGAGCAGGCCCAATAAGCAGACAGGGCCAGCAGCTACTGAGCCTCATTAACACACCCATCAGTGCCAAGACTTCACAGTTTTTGTGTAGCTTATTGTACAACTATACAGTGCAGGCTTAGAGCAACTTGGCATTTAAGATTACTTGTTTCAAAGCAGGACATGCATTCAACATGACATTATCCCCTATTAGTGAAGTAGCTCAGTGCAATACTGGACTGCTGATCTTTTAAATTTTGAATACAATACAATCTGGTGTGTGAAGTCTTGGATTACGGTCTTAAGAAGTGATTCATTAGGGATCATGAGGAAAGTTTAACATTTTATATATATATATATATATATAACAGAAAATACATATTTTCTCTTCAATACTAAGACAACAGTCATAGAAATGTTGGCCACTTAAATGCGTTTTATTCTGTGCTCTTATACTGTTAATCAACAGGTAATGACATTTATCATTTAATAAATTATCATTTGCATAAGGCATAAAATCAGTGAAGCTGATCAAACATCTTAATGATGTATCTAAAATAATCCAAAAGTGAAAAAAAGGCATCATCACATGCTGTGGCCTCGCACAGGACAAATACAACGTGGACAAATGCAACCACAGAGCTCGCAAAAGCTTTACAACCAGAATTGATGTCTGTTTGTGCCTCTTAATGACCAGAGCTTTGTGTGTGCTGAGGGTGGAGTACGATGCTTTCAAAAGACATAATGAGCCTCAATTCAGATGTGGGAGAATTCACTGTGTTGCTTGGTCATGTTGTTCAGGATGTGGCTGTGCAACACTGCAGACACTAGAAGCTCGTGCTGACGGGGAAGTGAAAACACAATAGGATGCACAGACTGCAAACATAGTAAACAATCTATAGAAAACTCCTCGCTCTTTCAACACACAAAAACCCTGTTCTCCCAGGAAAAGGAAACTTCAGAATGTGAGGGAAAAAACAATCCCACAATAATAATGAAAAATACAGTGCAATACATTTTAAACACCTTTGATAAAAAATAAAACTTCATTCCATACTTATGAGTAAAATTCCCATAAATGCAGCAAAGCAGAAAATAAATTACCGTTATATTTACATTATACAATATATACTTTACTGCTTTGTAACTTTAAGTTAGTGTTCACGTTATCACCAAGTAACACGCCAGATTCTCCCGGGTTTAGAGTCTCTCCATGTGGTGATGATGCAGCAGCACAGTTCCTCTGGGTGGCTCTCGTGCATCCCCTGTTTTACAGTATGTGAACAAGATGCACACTAACATCTCAGAGGGAATTCAGTTCCTGGGTCTGTCCATTGGGAAATCACAACACTGCGCTTGCAGAAATGCTCCTACACAGTCCACAACACTCAAGTGTGTACGCGGTGCCACACAGCTGCAGAAGCACAGATAAATGACGGTTTTGCTGACATGTTTGAATTCCACGTCACATCAGAGGATATATTTCTTTACAATCCTTACTGGAAATGTGGACAAACAGCTACTTGACACAGATGCCGTATGGCTGTGCGACACAAGTTTGCAGTCTGCATCTGGGTGAGCAAGTTAAAAGTGGCTTCCTCCTGTTACAGGTGTGATGGAGCTGGATTGGCGTGTAACGTGCAAGAGGATGCTGATTTGGATCCATCTGAGAACTTGTAAGAATGATCACCAGCAAATAGATGACAGTAAGTGGTGTCATGGAACCTGGGTGTGTTCACAGCATGCAAGAAAATCACTAAACAGAGCTACTGTATTACTAAAATATGTCTTCACAAGCTCCGTTCACAGTTGACAAAACGCTGAGCAGGATGTCAGCAACAATTGGCAGCGGCTGGTGCATTACATTAGGCAGTGAGAGGAGAGTCTCGCTCTTCACTCAGCACTGCAAGACTATATGATTGCCAGCAAACAAGTGGGCCATTTGAATAATTCATTACAACAAACTGAGAGTGGAAAGTGGCTTCCTTACTTTGGTTTCAGCCCACAGAATGAATTTTGCTTTGTTTTATTCTGATTTAACAACAATTAGACAGTGACCTGGGACTAAGATTCACTCAAGCAGCAAAGTATGCAGGTACTAGCTCATTAATACCCCACTCACCTTACATTCCTACACAAGTCCATCATAGAGTGACAATGCCTGAACAATAGAAGGGTCTGCTTTTGAACCCTCCTGAAACTCCTGCAGAGTCAGCTTCCCATCTGCATTCTGGAAGAAGAACATGGGACTAAATTAAACTGAAGTCCTTTAGTGCTTTAACAGGGATTTACCAGCAGGGGGCAAAAGAGGCTCTTTAGCTAAAAAGCTAAATCATGTTACTCCCGTTCTGTGCTGCTGGACTGATCCTTGGTTCAGTGCACTTGGAAGGTAGCCACTCTGCCAATACAAATCACTAAGTGCTGTGCTGCACAGCTAGTCCAATGGGCTGATCTTGGCAGTAGTGGGCTGACAAACACACCCATGCAGGCTGCGTCTCATCTTTCACTAAAGCTGAATAAATCCTTTGGTCTGAGGGAGTGGGCATTAGCACCGAGGACTAGTGGTGGTGGAGACTATATATGATGTTTATAGACTGCAGGCAGTGTTAGTGACGCTGTGATGGCTGCAGCTAACAGTTCTATACTTAACAGTGTCCATGTCAAAGCCCTGGGGGTGGCAACAAAGGCAGATTCTGTCCTCTTTATGGTAAACTTATATTTACTGCATGTGTATCAGGCAATGTTTGATGTTAAACCATAGAAAGTAGAAGCAAATGTTACAGTAACTAGTTCATTATCATTGTCACATCAGTCTTTTGATTTTATTTCAATATTCAAAACACTAACCTTGTCCATCATTGCAAAAATACGGTCCACGCGCTTTTCTGGTGTGTTTTCTTCTTCTGGCAGCTCCACAGTGTTCCCCTAAGAAAATCAATCATTACATTTTATACCACTCAAACAGATGTATATGTCTGATGTTTGGTAAAACTTACCACCATCTGATATATGGCATCTACGATGTTCAACATCTCATCTCGGGTGATGTAGCCATCATTATCAAGGTCATATAATTTAAAAGCCCCTGTATAGACAAAGATGTTAAAACATAGTGTTTTACTGCAGCAAGGAAGAGGTTCACAACTATTTTTGGTAGGTGAGCCCATACTGAGATCTGAAGATTACTGTGACTTCACAATGTAAAACAAAAGATTATATTAAACTATATATTTTCATGGATTACAAAGCATGCAGTGTTTCATGTCTTTGGAAGTGGTGAAAACTGAGTACAGACAGGCAGCAGCCTTTCATGGTTGCTTCCCAGTTCAAAAGGCGACAGTAGTAATTATAGCTATAAATAACGGTCACACTTATTTTCAGGTTTAAATGTATGGTTACTGCTAGTTTTCCAGGGTGTTTTATTTTCAAAATAGGTTGTCAACACACTGGGTCATGACCCCCAGGTCACAGAAGCCTGCAGGATCTTGCTAATAATGTCCTATTTGCTGTTATCTAGGTCCTCTTTCATATGCAATGCATGGCAGACAATCCTAAATCCTGTCATTTAAATGTCAAAAAATAGGGGAGGAGGGTGCATCTTCTCACATCTCAACTTCTCATCTAGAGTTCCCCGGGAAGTCACAGACAAGGCCTGGATGAATTCAGAGAACTCGATGCGTCCATCCTACAGAGTGACAAAAAGGAGAGAAAGAGAGAGAGAATGGGAGAGAAGAAAAGGGCCAGAGAAGAGACGAGCATCTTACTTCAATTGCTGTAGCTGTAGTTTCATAAACTCCTTGCTGTTCTTTCATGATGCCCTTGATGTATTCTGCTGAAAACGGGGCCAGACAATTGCTTCAAGTCAGATGCTATTTTTGCCCTGCACCTGGCTCTCTCCTCAGGAAGAAATATGTCACCTCTGGTCCTGAGTAAGATGGATGCTACCGGCTCATAGTCTAAAAGTTACAGCACAAAAACAACTACTGTATATTTGAGGCAAAGATGTCTCACATGTTTCCAGTGACTCTACATCATGAATGGGCATGGAAGAAGGATGGAGACAATTCTGTCCGACAAAGTAGAAAATATTACGCGTATTTCCTCTCAGCTTTGTTAGAATCACATGCGCTGAATCTTACTGCAGAAGCTCCAAATTTCCAATTACCCTCCCAAAATTGTGGCCTTCAGCATTCTTCTGGGAGACCGCACTAGAAAAGTCCACTTACATGGATGATAATCAAATATAAAACGGAAGCTCAAAGTGGCTCAAATGCCGCTAATTCAGACCAATTCATCAAGTTATGACCTCCAGCCTCAAGCAACTGCATCTGACTTACTCAAATCAAACTGAAGCGCTGCATAAAATAAATGCCATTCACATTGTAAGTGAAAACAGCCTGTGAACAACAAGAAATCCATATAAATCAATTTCCTGGTAGTTGAACCTTCAGGCTTTGGCCAATTCATATTCCCAAAAGATACTAAAGGATTGTTTTGCATCGCAAGTTTTTTTCAACATTTTGGTATAACAGCTGCCTACCTGAAAAGCCAAGCCATGGCCTTGGGGTCAGTTTATCTCCACCAGACATCTGACCAACCAGACAATGCTGAAGTCATGCATTGCTGATTACATAGGTCATAAAAACTGTTAGCAATCAATGCATTCTCTAACTACGGGGTGTCTAACGCTAATGAAGGTCATACATAAACATCCGACAAAGGGGTCGTCTGATCTTTCCAACACAAAGCTTCTTAACTGTAGTCAATAAACCCCCAGGGGCTCGCCAACATCCCAAGAGCTGTTCCCCTACTGTTTGTCTTCCTAAACACAATTTGAATAATTGTGTGCAGCTGCAATGAGGTGGATTACTTCAGACAAATGTAACATATAATGGTTTGGCCTTGTTAAAGCTTGCTTAATCATCATATCCTCAAATCCTTAGAGGATGCGCCCACATAACAGAGACAAGAGTTTCATTCAAAAAGAAATAATATTCACTTTGGTAAAAGAAAAGCTGGCATCCATTCTTAAAAATTGATTTCTGGCACATAACTAAGACTTACGATTATGTGTTACTATTGATGCTGTGGTTCATCTTCAGCTGTGCTGTTGAAATGCAGACTGATAATGTTCAGGCAGAGGATGATTACAGGTTTATACAGTGTTTTTTTTCTTCCAATACATTGGTACTAGCCTTACAGTTATCACATAAAATCAAGTCTTTATGCTGTATAATTTGGTTACACTTTGGCCTAGAATTTCAATACATTTCAGTGTCCAAAACTGCTTTCAATCAAAAGTGCTAATAAATATTTTATAAAAGATTCCGCATACCGTCAGGTATAATAACAGCAGCAATATGGATAGGATTTTGAAGTTACAAAGGTACTTGAAAAAATGTTTCGCCTTGTAATAGGGCAATATAGTATATGAATTTGATTACAAACCTTATTTTCATCAAATACGTTGAAGACAAAGGAGGCGAACTTTGTGGGATCTCCAAAAGGAAAGAACTGCTTATATATCTTCTGAAAGCCCACAGCATCCAGCTGCCCACTTGGACAATCTTTAATGAAGCCTTTGTACCTGAAAAGTGAAGCACAGAGATTATTTAAAGAGTTAAAATATAAATGTAATGAGAATCATTATCAAAACACAAACAATCACGGTAGACTCATGTCACCTCCTCACTTCTACAGCAGGCAGCACTGATTCAGTTTGAAACAGTGTGCTAGATCAAAAGGGTAAAGTGCAAAGCTATTTGTCTCATTCACAGATAAGATGATCGCCCTAATCCAATAGCAAGCCCAGAGTGGTTAACTCTAATCAAATTACTCTCTAGTCCTCTTTTGATAATATGCGTGGCTGATAGATAAGACTGAGAGCTTCCTCTCGCCCCTGGAAATGACAAATCTAGAGAGAAACTTAATAACTCTATTAGCCTAAATATAGAAGCATCTCATAAGCAATTTCAAACACAGTCACTCAAAGGTAGGCAGTTTCCTTGTTCGTCTTCATAAAAGAACACAGCAGCCTCAAAGTCTAACTAGACTGTAATAGGTCAGGGAGCAAGGAAGAGAGTGTTAGCCTTTACAAAAATAAATGCTACATGAAAAGTACAAAGAGGAGGAAATAGCAGGGAAATAATAATACTCTCTAGTTATAAAAATAATTGTAAAAAGCTTTTGCTCTAGATCAGCAGCAAAAATGATGCAGTTCACAACAAGGGAGCACTGCATGTTCATCTGCGATTCAGTTAAGGCTGTTCAAAATAAGCTGGGCTGTAATTACGGCCAGAGAGAGAGAGAGAGAGAGAGTGCTCTGATGAAGAATGAAGGCCAGGACATATCTTTTCCACTCACACTCTGGCTCCTCACTTCTTTTAAAACGCTTTAAATTTAATCTGCCTTGGAGATAATGAAGGCAGCTCCACATAGTCAAAGAGATGGAGAAACGCTTTGAGGAGTAGCTAGGAAAAAGTTCAGCTAGAAGTGAAGCGAAAAGAGAGCATAACCATGTAATTCTAACATTTGAATTATCTGGAGATATGCAGGAAAATGAAAGCCTAGCTCACTTTAATGCAGAATACAAGCTAATTGGTATTCAAAGTGCAGAACACACAATGCATATCATAATCCAAAGCCGACCCATTTCACCTGAATTCTTTCATTTTTAATGTGTGACTATGGAATATTATATCCGGCAACCAATATAATAAAAGGCTGAATGATACTGTAACATACTGTATAGCATACTGTGTGTACTGTACAGTATACATGTTTTTCTATAGAACACATATAGTGCATACAGTAGTGATTGTTTACTACAGTGTACCTATATAACGTATTTGTGAGAAAGACACCTATTCTGTTTGTCACACTGAACAACGGCTGTCATCAAATGGGAGAATCTTAACATCCACAACAATTACTTATATCTGCTAACTAGGAGGTTTACAAGAAATGGCTAATTGTTTATCACAGACAAAATAAAATTTAACTGGCACTCCAATGCTAATATAGCTGCTTATCAAAGCATCAGCATATGTTGTGTATGTTTACTGATAAGTAACAAGAAATTAAAGTAGAGAAATATGTTTCTGATTGGAGTTCAACTTTCTGATATAAATGATGGTTGCAAAAAGCTTTCCTGTATCCTGCATTGCATTGACAAGAGGATAAAACATAAAAAATAATTAACATCACAGACCACATGAATATTGTGTTTTGATTGGGATTTAAACAGGTCTGCAAGGATTTCAAAAGGGCACTCCACTGATTTTACATATGAAGTTCAGTTTACTTGTCATGAGAAGTACTGCTCCCTGCGAAAACATGTCTTCTGTGGCTCTGAAGCAGCTTCCTAAAAATAACCCTGATGACATCATCAGCATTGTTTTTTTTTATTTCATCTTGACTTGGGCTTGAGTCTTTTAACGGAAAGTGTGTGTTGAAAACTGGAAGTATGACATTTGAAAGAAGTGGCCATTTAGGAAGCAGGGGCAGTCTAATGAAAGATGCTCTTGAGTTGCATTATGGTCCATTTTAAGCTTAAAGTCAGCTTTATGGAAGTGCAACCCTAAATTACTGGAGTAGCTCTTTAATATGACTTTTTTCCTTGCAAGAGAGTGCCTGAAATAGGTTTCTTTTCTGTGACCAGGTTTTACTATTTTAAAAGCACCTTAAGGACTTATTGCATGTGAAAATGACAGAATTAAAATAGTACTTTATTATTTAATCATTGCACTTATATTCATGATGGACAGTTTTTCAAGTATAAAATTACCCACAATGCAACTCCACCACCAACAGCTAGGTTGTGGAATCAGGTATTTTCAGCTAGCAGTGGCTAATTTCTGCAGGTTTCTCTAGAGCCACAAAAGGTTTTATACAACTTTTTTCACATAATTATATACTATTAATAATCCCCAAGACCTGAACAGATGTTCAAAGGCTTGGCCACATCATACACTACTATACTTCATCTGATGATTATTAGAGTTCAGTAAAGGTTGCATAGTTAAATAATTGACTTATTTAAATCTCATATTTACTATGTTTTTTGTTGAATTATTATAGTTGTTGATAGTAATTAATTGTGAAAGCTATATTAATGTTTATTTTTCTGTTGCTCCCCCAATATCTTGGTCAAAACTTCTCAATAACCAAAACAAAGGGATTCTTATCAAAAGTGTTTGGTCAAGTTGTCTTAATTGTCTTAGTACAACAATCAAACAACTAAAATTAACTGAAGTATAATTATTGGATATTAAAATTCTTCAACATGCACTTTGACTTTTGATTTATCAAAGACTTCCTGCTGTGAAATGGTATTGTTTTTCAGCCATTAAAAAGTCACATTACTTTGCTTTACTAGGCATACAGTAATACACATGTAGGACTGACTACCAATTTTAACATACTACCAGTGGAGTTACAGAAGGGACACATACAGTGCAAAGACACTGTACCAGCGTAAACATGTTTGCCCAGAGTCATAATCAGCATCACCTTCATTTGCCAAGAACCCATCATGTGCAAGAAATCTGACTTGGTGACACTGGTGTTAAGACACACACACAGTCAGGCTGTACTTGAAGTAGTGTAATAATGCGACTATGCACTGTACTTGCAGGGATATAGCAGGCGTGACATTGTGCATCAGACCACACTGGGGAGCCAGCATGAAGATAAAGTATTTATTATTGGCACTGGCTCCTACTCCTTGGCATCTACCATGGTGGTTTGCTAAAGAGTTGTGCAAGATGTTTCTCTTGCTCCTGCCTCGCTGGCAGGACATCATCAGTATGGCATTTTGTTATTGATTTCAGGTGAGCTTTGAGCATACTAATGATGTTCCTTCAAAGGAGAATTAAAAAGGGGAACACATTTAATGCACAACACAGGCATTTATCTAACCCTGCTAATTCTTCTGTGTCTGTGCCTGTGCTCTAATTACACACCATCTGGCATTTCCCCTGGTAAAATTCCCTCTCATCCCTCACACTCTGCTGTGTTGATTGCTGCTGATCTTCAAGTGAGAACTCGTGCAAACTTTCCTGTTAAAAGACAGTGAGAGCGATGGTGAGCTAGCTGGCTGCACAGCCGGGGGGATGGACATTTAAGGGGTGGGGGTATTCTGCCCCTGAGCACTCAGGCAGCCCCAGAGACAGGCCAGCTCGGAGGCTAGACCTGCTACTGCCCAGTGATATCTAATGCGGCTACTGTTGCTGCTATGTGACTGTAAGGCTGTGAATGTGCCCTGGCTCCTTCCCCCTGTAAACCCTCTAACAGGGGACATGAACAGGGACTAGCTCTCGAGGCAGAGCTCATTTCATGCATGCCGAATTGGGTCGTGAAATGCAAAACTAAAGCAGGAGAACTGAAGTGTGAACATCGAAAAGTGATCGCGTTATTACAATTCTCCTTCATCTGATATACACTATTCTTTCCTTTTATTTCCAAAGAAACAATAGCCCAAAAGCAGCATGCAGCAAACAAAAGCGATGACTGTGCTCATGCTTGAATCACTTCTGTAAAAAAAGATGCCTTGTCTCTCTGCATTTAAATTGTGCCTTCAGAAAAACATTCAGAAATTCCTACCTTAACAGTATTGCTTACTCTCACCACAGCTTTGTGACTTAACCAGGCCTGAGGTTTCTCCATTTCATGAATATGTTTTATTTTGATATATTCATGTGCATGTTACAACACTGTGAGTACAGGCTGGGATCAGACAAAGGCTAGACCTCTGCGAGATAATGCTGGTGCGGGTCACCCTGACTAATAGGTACAGAATCTGACAGGAAGGATTACTAAACTACAACATTGTGGAGGCTCTGTGGCCACGTAGTCATTAAGTGCCTAAAAGAGAAACAACTTTATCAGACATCCCTTTCGCAAAGAGAGTAAAAAGGTTGTTGAGAAATGCATCATGGAAATGCTTGTATCAGTGTTATCAGCCTTCAAAGTCATTCTGTCTCAGTAAGCCTTCAAAGTCATTCTATATTCAGAACTCATCTGTCTTCAGGGCAGAGTGAGAGAGGTGGCTACAAATCAACTATCAAACAAATTGTAAATATTCTTTCCATGGACTAAAGAAACCATATCCTCGGCAAAATATATCAAAGTGGGTTTTGCAAGTGGGTCAATAAAAGACCCTCTTATTCCTGTAAACTTTGCCAGTAAATACACAATTATTAATAAGTGACTTGCCTCACATAAGGAATGGAAACATTTTTTAATAAAAGATTAATAGACACACTTACCACTGCTGCACCTCTTTCTCTGTAACTGTAAGAGAAATAAAAACATTAGCTTAGAGGATGACTTTGTTTGTCCTAGAAAAAAGTAGCTTGCTGTTAGATGCAACAGAAGAGCCAAGTTGTAGCATCGTTAATCATCTTGGCCCAGTCCTATCCAACACATATCTTTTGACTTTACCAAAAATATTCAACTGTGTCATCATGCAATTATTGGAAAATAGCCATAGTTAGTTGAGTGTAGAATGAACTGATTCTAGCACACTATCGGGTATAGTAGAGACAAGTGGGAGTAAACCCCAGAGATGCACGAAAAGACAAACAAGGCTGACGGAACGAACGCTGGCCACAGATTTAAGAAAGTGAACCGTTTAAGAGGCAGGATGTGTTATCATGCCCACACAAACACCATCATCTGCCAGTATCCAATAAAACCTATCCCTCATGGTTTTCCCTTGTCTCTTTACTCTCTCTCAAGTAACCAAAGCAATTTTCGGCCTCTCTGCCCCTGGTGTTACTAATGAAAACAAGGGCTGGAAATCAATAGCATTAGCTTAACCAGTTGGTCCTTTGAGAGAAACTTTCTGAATTCATGCTGCCGTAATTCTGAGGATAGATGCCGTCTACTACCACTTCTGTTGGTCCTGGGGCAAAGCAAAAGCCTTGTAACCAATAGCTAGTTAGTTAATCTATAATTTCTTCTACTGTAATGTTTAACCTTGACTTAACTCATAGTTTGGTTACAAGACAAACAAAGGTATACGACCAGAGAAACAAAGTAAACAGTGGGTATAATGCCTAGAATTCATGTGCCATAACTAAGATATTTTTGGTGGTAAATTAAATTACATTATGAAATTAGCCAACACTCACACATTGCAGGAGACTGGTCAGGGAATACAAAATATTCATGACATGATTAAAAAGGATTTTGTACCATGAGATTTACACATATACTCTATACATATATATAATGTGAGTACTGCAGTACTGGCGCAGAATCATACAGAGGCTATATGTGAGAGGGCCAGGTCAGGTGGCCCTCGTCTGCATATATCTCGGCCTCAATTTGTTCTGCTCAGCATTTTACCAAGAAACTCATCATGTGACCCTTTCCTGGGCAATAAATGTCAGGGTCAATCTCACGACCATCAGCCAAGCCAAGCTACCATTAAATGGCCTCAAAATTGAGGCAATTTACCATGGCTACGGTTTAATAAAAAATGATTACATAACTCAGTCAGAGGCAACGGGCAATACTGCAATCAGCCCACTGCAGGTGAGTGCAGGGCCTACTCATCCAGCTGGCCTTGCAGGGTCAGCTAGAGCACATCCAGCTTGCACTCTGTCACTGTGAGCCTCTTCATGGCTTTGACAACTTACAAAATCATCATGCCATTACATGAGCCTAGCCTATATCCTGCAGACATTTTAATAGGACTGCTGCTCTCTCCATGTGATGCCAGAACAGTCATTTGAAAAATAATTTCTGGGGCGAATTAGGCTCTCTTAAAGTAAAGGTGAGGCTGCAACCATTTTTTCTATAGTTTCCAATAAGGACAGGAAAATCACTGGCTACCCAGAGCCTTTGCATAGCTTAATGTGTCTTTAGCCAGAAAGTGTTTTATTTATAATATATGGTGACAATAATTTTCTTATAAAGAAGCCTGAATTTTCAAATCTATAGCAAAACAGAAGACAGACATCTAAAGACATTTTTTTGACCTAAACAGGCCGCATTTCTTAGCATTAGCCTAGCCTTGTTGGTCGCCTGTCAACACAAAGGGCATAATTTGCTGGGGTAAAAAAAACGCCCTGCTTCTTCCACCACTGAAACAAAAAGACACATAGGCGCAGAAAAATGTCTTAAGTCCCCAATCTGTCAAGAAGCAAAGCAAAGCGCTGACTAAAATGGCAGACACAGCTTCTCATGTGAGAGCAAAAGAAAGAGGCAACAGGATGAAGGAAAGCAGGCAACAACCGAACATGGGAGAATGATCACGCAGGGAGAGAAAGCTTGGTGCCCCTCTCAGCGATGCTAACCAGATAAGATCCTAATTATACTATTCCATTCCCTGCTCAAAGAGGGCAATTAGGGGATAAAGCGAAAGAGACAGGGCTAAAGGGTAAGAGAGAAAGAGAGAGAGAGTAAAGGACAGCAGCAAGCAACCCAGCCCAGCATGAAGCCCAATCTTCCTCCACAGCAATTTCCTGCCACAACAACCTTCCTCGGCTCTGCTGTGGAGAGAGCCACCACACAAATAACACTGTCATTAAGCAGCCAATGGATGTCAACTCCCACCCACACCTGCACACTGTACTGCTCAAATAATAATAATAACTCTGTGCTCCAGAAATAACACACCAATGATTAATATAGTGTCTTTCGAGCAGACATCGTTGTGGTAATTCTAAAATTTGATTTAAAACAGTGGGAGAAAAAAGCTTTTTTTTTTAAGCACGAGATTATCAATCCAATGCTGTCAGTATTCAATGTCAGGTTGACAGAAACAACATGAATTGCTGTACTTGCAATATTGTACATTCACTCCAGCTTTTGACTTTGGTCATTCCCACCAATCCCACCATTTCTGTCAGTCTCTAGGCATGAATGCCATTTATAATTGTGGTGTGTATAGCATAGCGTTCATTTATTTAGACTCTGTTTGTACTCAATCTATCGCTAAATACATAAAATAAAAAAATAAAAATATACAGAGGGCCCACAATCTACATTCAAAAACCACATCCTCATCTCTAAAACCCCCAGCTTGATAGCTGATACAAACTCAGCATCTTCATAAATCCCTTCAGCGTGATTTAAAGATGCTGATTACAACTTTTGCCAGACCTTAACCAATCACAATTTGCTACACAACATTTAAATGTAAATTTAAATCAAACAAGATGAGTATTCCCAGCTGACATTTGGTAGTAGCTCTGTTATGGCAATAACAAGATACTGGTGTAGAATCCCAATATATCCCAGCAGGCAGGGTTATTTACTGTACAGCCTGTATGGAACACAGTGGGTGGAAAATATGATTTAAAAACTGCAGCAATACTATTAAAGTTTTATTTTATAATTCCTATCACATATGCTATTGTTTTTTATGTTTGTCCAGAATGTTCCTTTATTGTCAAACAGGGTGGCTGAAGAAGAGTTTGTGCAGGATTTACTTTCTAAAGACAAGCACTTTGTTACATGTATTGAAAAGTGCTGTACAAATAAAGCTATTATTATTTACATTATTATTACTACTGAGCAAAAAAAAACAAAGACATGATGGTACTCACAGTAGGTTTTCCTTGTCAACTCCTCCACCACCTCTGGCTTCAGCTTGCTGTTTGATTTACCCATGATCTTCAGCTCTCCTCACGCAGCACCTGTTACTACCTCCTCTCCAGTCTGCTGCTCTGACAAAAACATACACAAACGTGGGCCAGTTTAGGTGCAATGAAACCAGTGAAATAAGGAAAACACTCTTGTTTGGTTTAAAGAGGGGTGGGGCAACTTCCATTCAAGCTATATTTGTGTATCGTTTGGTGGTTGGTAGTTCATTCTAGCCGCGGTGATGATCTACTCAGTCACCAGCCCCTGCACTAACGACAGGCGAGTCAATCCCCAGGCACCCTGTGAAGAAGGGTCGCTGCTGAGTGCCTATGTGACCGCTTCATTTCTTCACAGCAGTCCGTGGGCGAAGAGTGGCGTTTGGATGCGTTGCTACCTTCGATCTTGGATACAAGAGTCACTCAGTAGCTGGGTTAAGCACGCTCACTCCCTCACAGTCATTCTCTGTTCTTCTCACTCCTCCCACCCCTCCTTTCCCACCACTATCTCTTTTTGCTCTGGGTATGTTACTGTAGAAAAGAATCCCTCCCTGTCGACAGCTGAGATAAGGTGGTGTGTAAACTAAAATACAATGAACAGAGCTCGCCTTGGATGCACCCCGCTGCACTTTGCACTCCCTCAAAGCATTAACTCTAAACCCTTGAATTTATACATACGTAACAGTTTAAGGAAAAGTTAAAGGTTTCGGTAATAATTTAGGGAAAAAAGAAGCAAGGTCTCTACAGTTCTACAGTAGATGCCAGCTGAAAAGAGATCTGGTTTTGCTCTTAAAATAAGTGTGTGAGCTGTCTACCAAGCTTATAGGCGGATTTGAGGAGTGACAGTTTTCTTTTCTTCTCCATTCTGACTCATAATTCTCCCTCCTTCCTGTCCTCACGACATCATGGTATGGTGATTTCCTCTGTCACAGCAGACAGGAGATGAGGGATAATGGAATTTCTTTGTATCACGGGCATGCACTAATGCCTAACCACAGCAGCTGCCTGAGCCACAGAATAGGAAGCTACTGTAAGTGCTAGGCACCTTCACTGCAAACATCTGTTCCCTGTGTCCATGGCCAGTGATGTCCTTCTGATGGATGCCACGCTGGTATTCACCATCTTGTGTTTGCTTTTGTGGTCCTGGGTATTACTTAGACACTATAAGAAATATGACAGACAGACAGCAGTTACAAAGGGAACAAAAAGCATGTGCTGTGTTTTAGTGGAAATGGTCTGTGTTGTCACCTAGAGCCACAGACAAATGAGCACTGGACTGGAAAAACACTCAAAACAGACAACGACCTATCTACTGTCTGCCAAAGCTGCTTAATATAGCCGACAGGCAAGACACAATGTGGAGCAAGAAGAGTGTTAGTAATGTAAGTGCAGAGGCTATTCTTAAAGTAAACTGATTTAAATTAACATAACATTAAATGACGAGCAAATTAACTGTAGCGTCAAGTCTCTTATCGATTTCATTCAAGTGTTCTGAAAAAAGGTGGCTGGGAGAAAACAGCACAACTAAAAGCACGCACACCCAAATTCATAACAAATTAATGGCTGAATTAAAACATGCGAAAAAGCGTTTCCATATTTTCATTTTTGTTGAAGTTGACATTAGTAACAAATGCATAATAGCTAGCCACGAAAGCAGCAGGTGGGATGTTGCCTGGCAATACCATAGCAACACACAGTTTATGGCTACAGTACAACAGCTACAGTGCGGGAAGCTTGCTAGTCATTGTACTCGCAACCTCGGTACCCACGCTGTTCCTTGTAGCTAGTTCACACACAAAAAATAAACAGAAAACTCACCTTGAAATAAATAAAAGCTTTTCTATATAAAGCGACTTCGGGATTTACAGGGGCGGAAAGTCGCCGTCCAGTCAGTCCCAAAGCGGAGAGCCGCTGTTCAACGTTGTCTACCTTCCGCCGAGTTCCGGAGCGACTCGCTGCTGCGCGGATGGCCGTCCGTGCTGCTCTGGTGCCGCCGTCAGGGAGTGACGTTGCTGCTGCTGCTGGCCCCGACCAACTCAGCTCAGTGCCAGAAACACTGACGTCGCGGTGCCATTGGATATACACTGACTCTTTGTATGCTTTCAGAGCCTTTACACGTGTCATTTCGTATACAGTGAAGGCTTACCCGAACTCACTTTACACCCACATTATCACTGACAGAGCTTAAAGGCAGATATCATACTTTTATGGTATCTTTTATACCCAATTTTACAGTGAGTTTACTAATGTCCTTCGGTGGAGGGGGGGAGGGGGGGTACAATTAATTGGGGCCACATAATGATGTGCTTTTTGATTTTGCATGTTTTTTCATCTCTAATGATTAGTTAGCATATTACTGGGAACTTTTGTATTATAATATATAGGCTATAGGCTATCTATAGCCTAGAATTAGTAGCCCTTAAAGGGACTTTTCTGCAATTTAGCATTGCACTCTCATTAAGTCAGGGGAATCACAAGAGATAACAAATAAAAACGGAACAAGAATGGTCATAATTGATGCAGCAGAAGCTGAGATTTCTTGAGTTTTAGTCCTTAGGAAGGCTCAATTCAATTTTCAATTCAATTTTATTTATATAGCGCCAAATCACAACAACAGTTATCTCACAGCGCTTTTCATAAAAGAGCAGGTCTAGACCGTACTCTGTGATGATATTTACAGAAGCCCAACAGTTCCCACCAAGAGCAAGCACTAGGCGACAGAGGCAAGGAAAAACTTCCTTTTAAGAGGCAGAAACCTCGAGCAGAACCATGGCTCAGGGTGGGCGGCCATCTGCCTCGACCGGTTGGGGTGAGAGAGAGAGAGAGAGAGAAAGAGAGAGAGAAGAGAGTGAAAGAGAGAGAGAGAGAGAAAGAGAGAGAGAGAGAGAGAGAGAGAGGGATGTAAGGAGAGAGAGAGGGGAGGGAGGCAGCCTACACAATATACACACAGAGGTACAGACAGCGAAGGTAATGTTGCTATAAACTAAATGAAAAATGGTACAGATATTTATAATAGTGTTAATGGTAACCATCGTAATGTTAATGATTATAATAACAATAAGACCAGCTCCGGCTCATGCTCCAAAAACACTACAAATCCCATAATGCAGCTCAGTAGACTCTTGCCTTAGACAAACACTGTGGGTTCTCATTACAAAAAGGCTGGACGTCCTCTTATCTCAGTTGAGGATGACATTTAGGGAAGTTAGGAATCCTAAGTTAGGATGGTCGATACCCTGTCCTACATTTGATGTAACTGCCAAAAATTGCAGCATCACTGTAGGTCTGTATGGCAAATGACAGAGAAGACGGGGAACAACATGAACACCGAAATCTTACTATTTAAAGGCTACTCAAACCGTATGATGATGTTTTAAATTTCCCAGAACATGTATTAATGGGTAGCATATACTGCAATCAATCAAGACGATTCATTTTGAATTTGATGGACGTGCTACATCCGTTCAAATCTTTATCCTAGTTTCATAATATCATAATTTGCAAGTGAATTCCCAAAAGGGTGGGGTTTCTTCTCCTCCATCGACACAATTAATGCCTCCATATGAATGCCTAAAATTAAAGCTAAAATGTAATGCATGTATTTTCTTGTCCATAATGTCAAGCTAACTAGCCAGTTTAAGTGAAGTGAGACAGCTGTGGTGATGGATGCAGGCGGTGTTGTTTACATTCTAAATACAGATACAGGCATGACAAGACGAGTGCTGACTGAAGAATTGAGTAGATAAGATACAAGGACTGAGATGGATAGGACATAGCCATGAGTTTAGGAATTGCTTCTGTAATGGGAAGATAGGATTTTTTCTAGTTAAGATAAGACCAGCAAATAGCAGCTAAATGTTTTTCTTATAAGGCCCCAGGTCTTTCAAACTCCACCCACACAGACTTTCTGTGAATAGTCTCAAGACCAAGTTGAGATAACAGCATCATGGTTATTGTCTCTGATTTTAACCCCCACCAAATACATGTTTTCACAGGCTGAGTAGTCCTCTACATTGCAAGTAAACTGCAGTGTAAGATTTAAGAGTGTTAAGTAATTTATGTTGTTTCAAAGTTTTGCCTCTAACAGTTATTTTGGAAGCCATTCTATTAATCAGCTGATAAACTGAAAATCAGTTAGATACCTAGACTTGAAAAAAGCCTTAAAAGCTTGAGACTGGGATGACAAATTGAAAGAGCATACCAGGAAAATTCATGTTAAGTTTAACCAAACATAGCCTACTGTAACTGCTGATTTGGAGAGCACAAGGCCTGCTGAGTGCTATATGGGAATGAGGAAAATTTGAGAAATGTGCTAAAGGAGAAGGAAAGAATTTCAGACTGGTTTGAAGCAAATGATTTCTCTTCTGCAGTCTTCACATATGTATTATGCTACGTGAAGGATGCAAGGACAAGACATTTTTCCCACGAGTCTCATTCATCACATTTGTTACTCATCCTTATTACTCATTTTACTTGTGCTTGAGTCCAAGTGACTTTGCAGTCAGACATTTTCATTTGCAGCTTGTTAAAATTCTGCTCCCATCAGCCGCATTCCAACAGATGTTTAGTTGTAGCGTTTGTCCATTAACAACTGCTACATCATCATTCAAAATCCCAATAGGAGCTTTCTACCCATTCATGGGCGGGTTGGATCTAAATGTGGGTTGTGTGGCTTGGCCATCTTAGTATTCAGTGCCCTTCCCTGCAGTCCTGTCAACTGCAGTTACAGTAGTCTCATAGGAATAGAGGGAACAAGACTGAGCACAGGAGAAAGAGGCCATGGCAAAATGGGGTAAATGAATGGAAGATTTCTAATCATTTTATGCTGCAGACCTGAGAGCAGGTGGAATTGAGAAAATGCTTGATTCTTTTGAGATACATACAGTTTAGTTTGTGCTCTGTGGGTTAGTTAAACTGGCCAAAACTCAGAAAACTCACTTTATTTACACAGGTTGCCACCAACCATTTAATCCAATATAAATCTTTATTCCACAAATTTGACTATTAGTGTCATCAAATGAACAAATTAACTGAGAGAGACTGTTTTCAAGAAAAATGCCATACATTAAGGCAGTTTTCTAATGTTTTGCTTACAGCCTTATCACTGATAGAAGTAGCAAGGAAAAATGCAACACATTTTGCAGTTTCTAGCGACAAAAAGATCCCCTTGAGACAGGTTGAAGTTGCCACTAATTCCTATTCTTTTTTGCTTAGTTTCTGAGAAGGAATATCCATCTACAGAATGAAGTGTGGAAGTTCCATTGCAGACCACCAAACACTGGCAGTCATTTCTCCTTTCCCCTCATTTCATTGGAACGAAGCACTTCCCCTGAAAATTCTTCAGTGTAATTACTTGCAGATATTTGTCCATTTATCAGAAACCACGCACCATGATCATTAAATCATCATCAGCACAGGGGCATCGTGCAGCGTCTTTGCATCACAATGATATGCTGACATATGCTAAAACAGCTGGGGCACTACTGGAAGAAAACCACTGCCTGGAAAAGTTCTGTATATTTTGTAGTGCCACTGAGTTTTAGTACCCTCAGTATTGCATTACAAGTGGGTAAGTCATTTTCTCTGGGCTGACAATATGCCATCAACACAATATTTGTCTTAATTAGCAGCAAAAAGACAAGAAGGTAATGAAAACTCCATCAGCAAGAGGAAATATTCATGAGATTTTTTTATATTACAACTTGAAGACAGAGCCACTTATACATAAACAAAGCGTGTAATGACTGAGAAAAACATCCATACATTCGAAAAACAGATGTTATGAGGCCATTTGGTGGTGATATTTTATGTATAGCTAATTTTAATTCAGCATCTAATCCATTTCTCTGGCACTTTTATAAATAGCCACACACTTAGCAGAAATGCAGCTTCAATGACTCAGACATGAAAGGTTTACTAGATTTAACCATGTCCCTCTGGTTATAGTAACAACTGATAACTTGCAAGATAAAAAAAAGCATGGTCATGGCAAGCTATTCAATTATTTCAATTATCTTAATCATTTCCTTTCAAGCAAATACAGTATTGATGCTTGTCCTCCATACAGTATGCAAACATAGGTGATGGGCTGTCCTAAAGAGGCAGGTGAACATTTATAGTTTTTGCACACATGAATCTTTTAAAACAGTGCGACAGATGGAGGAAATGACAAAGAGCAGCAGATGAACGAGAATCCTTTTATGTACAAGCCAGACCCACTCTACTTAAATTCATCTCAAAATGAAACACTGAGAGGCTGGGCATCACAATTCAAAATCTAGTTGGCCAAATGTTTATCCAAAATGTTTGTACCAAGTAGCATACCATTTGGAAGGTTTTGGAGTATGTTCCCTATAGATTGTGGCAACAAAATTAGTATACTGAAAATAGTTGTGAGGAAAGGATGATGGAAATACGACTGTATCTATCTAGCAGAGTAACAGAAATCATTGGTTTTCTATGATTAACTCTATGCACGAACAACTTCCTCCTTCAGTAACTGCAACCAAACATTTTCCCGAGGCATCATCTGTTGTGCCCGCTTGAGTAGCCCATATGGCTAGATATATATAATTTAGGATCATAAATATACAATCCCTACCCTCCTCTGAACAGACATGGCTTTGAGGATCCAACAACATGTATCATAGTCTGTTGTGCTCAGTAAATCCAGCAGGGCATTGAGGTTCTAGTGGAGCAGAGATGCTGGTGTAATGCCTGACACACAGCTGTTAATTCAGACTGACAACGGGCAGATATCTGGCAGACTAATGGCAGATGGGGCTTGAATCCTAGCTTTATAGAGATAAACTATGCCCCCTCAGGAAGAAAGAGGACAGAGAGGAGAAGGGGAGTGGGGGTGGTTGAAAGGTGGATATTTGTATCGTTATCATAGCTGGAGGAAAATGTTGCCTATTAAGCAATGAAAATGAATCAACATAGAAAACCAGCATTGTGTAAGACGTAGGACACAATCAGT